CATTGACATGAGAGGCTTCTTCTTGGCAACAGGACCCGGTAACAAAGACATTTTATAGACACACACGTTGCATACAGAGTAAAAAACACCAGACTGTGTATGAGCATGAATGTATGCATCAGTGGATGGAGGCATGTTTGCAGTGCTCTGCAGCAGTGTTTTCAGTAAGGAGTCAGGATCTCAGGGTAAATTATGCTTCGTGTTCTTCATTCACCATCTACAGGTCAGCTCATGTAGAAACTTCAGGTTTATTCAGTGAAAATATTTTGTAAGAGCTGTGCTGTCAGATTTATTGAAGATATAAACATATTGATTATCCTTAAATTGAATCAAATTGAGCTGAATTGTCCCGCTGTCTGAGAAAAACATCGTTAGCTGTGGTGTATCGATGCTATTATTCTGCTTGGGTTAACAGACGTTCGTTTGCTTCATTTCTTTTAGACTTCAAGATGAATGTTCGGGCAGCTCCAATCCGATCGGTGGACGTCTATAATCTGATGTGCTGGACGTTGGGAGTGGACCCCCTGCCCAATAATGGGTCCTGGTCTCGGGTCGAGTGCTTGCTGAGTAGTTCTGATGGTGTATTTCATCCCTTCTGGATCTACTGTGTTGGTCTACTGGCAATCATACTGACAACATAGTCCGAAATGATTTACAGGTTTGTTTACGACGTTTGATAATAGCTAGAAATTATTTTATTTTCTAGAAACATTTAACTATGCAGACGGTAATATTTGTGAAAGGAAGTATCTGTGAGAGGACGGGAATAAATCAGCTTAAGATCAGAATAAAATATCAACAACACAGAAACTGCATCCTAATCTACCTGCCTGCCTCCAGATATTTAACAGACTGTTTTTACATTTACTGTTTTGGTGCCAATAAGCCCTTCAGTGTTTGGAAAGTGGACAAAGTTGCAGGCAGCGAATCTGGTTGAGAGCAACAGTCTTTGTGCTGTGAGAGCATCGTTCACGTCACACATTTCCTGTTTGGTGTGACAGAAACGTCTGTGTGTGGTGTCAGTGCCTCACAGGTCCGTAACACTCACCTTTGATTTTGATTGACTGTTTTCTTATTGTTGGGTGATTTTAAAATGCTTTTCAGTCTGTTTGATTATTGGTCCTTGTTTTCACGTCTTAAATCTGTTAGATCTGCAACAGCCTGTGTAACACACCTTTTGTGAAAAGTGATCTATATGAATAAATCTGAAAAAGTGTGCTTGTCATTGTCGTAGTTGTGCAGTTAGTATTAATGATGTGTAACAGTGTCCTGAGCTCCAGTAGAGAAAACCTGAGAAATAATGGATATTAATTTAATTAGATTTATACAGAGCCAAATTACAACAGCAATTTATAATAATAGTAACAATGATTAAACATTGTATTTATAGGCGCCTTTAAAGACCCTCGAGGTCACCTTACATTAGTACAGTGCTTCCCAAACTTTTTTGCTAGGCCCCGCTTTGTTTTACAAGAAAGATCTTCATGTTACTGTCCCTCCATTTACAAAGGCAGAGGCGTCACGGTGTGATTATTT